AATAGTCAAGTCTGTATTAAGGTGGGGATAACTGATAAAGCAGGAGCCATACACATTGTTATTTTGATTGTTTATTTAATTTGTGAATCATTTGATAGCTGTCTTTGTGAGTGGTTCCACAGGGGGGGGGGGGGGGGGGGGTCTGGCCATCCTGCCTGTGTGGAAAGAAACCTCAATCAGGGATAGTCAAGGTTCACAATATAGTATTGACTGCTTTTACTCTATTTCAGTTAGTTGTTAAATTAGTTTAAACAAGATGAACAATGTAAGTACTCACCTCTTCCTGGTTGTCCCTTCAGCAGGGGGCGGAGTAAAAGGAGTGTTGTAGGCCCAAGCACCTGCTTAAGAGCTGCAGGAGCAAACCATGAAGCTGAGAGGGGGGGAGTAAAGCCATCAATAATGCTGACTTATGTGGTTATTTTGAGTATGCTTTATTGATTTACTGATAGAAATTTGTATTTATGTAAATATTCATTCTTTGGGCTCTATTTTTCTGTGGTGTTGGGTTTTTGGGTAAATTATTTATTATTCTAAATGATGGTGGTCCCCCCTGAGTAGTTTTACCCACTTAATTACCTGCAGGAGGGAGTGTATAAAAGGCAGCAAGTTACTTCCAGTGCAAGTTGTTTTTGTTGCTTGTTGGTGTCGGTGTCTCCTCTTGTTGGTATGGAAGACAATAAATGCCACGTTTGTGCTTGCGTTTTACCTCTGTCTCATGTCTCTCTCTGAAAAATGTAAAGCCACCGCCAGACCATCGGACATAAGCCTTTTTGAAACATTTCAACAGCTTAAGATTCGACAATTCAACTAATTCACAAATGAAACCATTTTCTGACTTGTTAAGGTTTGATTATGGCCAATATTAGTGTATTCATTATAATTTCAGTTACTAGTATTGTGATGGCCCCAGGTTTGGGCCCTCTCTTGTTGTTTGTATTTTGCTGCTTTGTCTCTTTAATCCAGGTAATTGGTGGGTGGAGCTGAGACCTGGTGTGAGATGCAACACACCTGAGCAGGCGGGGATCAGGTGGTTATAAAGGAGCCTGCTCCATGATTTATCTGCCTCTTCTCCTGGCCTGCTGACTGATTCTGTTGTGTTTGTTTCTTTGTGTTTTACACCCATACACTCCACTCACACATACACTGCATACACACTGATCTGACAGACACCTACAATTGTATATTTGTTTAATTTGCTATTATTAAAATATCTAGTATCATTTTCAGAATGTATGGTTTCCCTCTTTTCTCACTTACTGTTGAGCCAGGTTGTGACAACGCCTCTCGACATAGCGTCTGCGACTAAAAATTGTGTAGTGTGAACTAGGCTTAAGAAATCCCATTTTTTATGGTCACTCTATCTACATTGCATCTTTTTTTTTCTGTGTCATTAAGTTACAGGCTACACTGAGTGTCAAGTGTTGTTGAGTTGAGTTGAGTCTTGAGTCCAGTATTTTACACTAGAATGACTATTCATTTCGTATTCTGAATATTTAGATTTAAACTTTGGCACAAGTTGCATTTTAAATTTCATTTTGAATGTTTGAATGGTGCTGGCCAATCAGAAATGCTGCCAGGCACGTTGCAAGGATATTTACTCCACCTGTGCTAAGGGGGGGACTAAACCAATATTTGGGGGTGTTAAGAAAATATGAAAATAGGTAATTTCATGATGTCAAAGATGTCATGATACAGCATGGAGCAGGTCCAAAGGTTATGAGTTAAAACAGGTCATAAGTAAACAAAAGTGAAGAAAATTAAAGTGCAATACAAGGACACACACACGTTCATTCTCTGTATACTGGACCAACATTAACATTTAATATCAGACACCTGAGTTTCTCTGATGTGACTTTGATTGGAAAATGCATCATGACATTAAACAACTTTGAAGTATCAAATAAAACCACAGCAAGGAAACTTCTTTTATAACAACTAAGAGAATTTACACTTTAAATAAATATAATAAATGTTCTCAACCTACATTTAAAAATCACACAAAATCCTATAATTTAGGATTTTGATAACCTGCAGCTGAAAATATACTTTGTAACATTGAGTGGTAACCACCTCAATCATTAAAATAATAGGTGCCACTAGGTAGAAGCATTGTACTTAAAATTATTTTCATTCATTTCAACAATTATTCATGATTTATAGGTGATTTCTCTGTTTGTTTAAGTTTTTGTCTGGTTATTAAATAGTGTAACTAGAAATAGTGTACAATCCACCAAACATTACAACAAGAACAACAGTGTATTATTGTGGTAACATGCTCAGGATGTTAAAAGTTTTTGTTCTTTTGAAAGCTAACTATCGTCAGTTTAGGATTGAATTGTTTTGTTACTGAGATACTGATAAATAAATTTAGAATTTTAAAATGTGAAGTGGAACCTTTTGATTTCTCGATTTTCATACTGCAATCTTTAACACACAAATTGTTACTACAATATATGTAATGACAACTGCATTTATTAGTTGGTAACTGTTACATTCATGGAAAACCAAAGCAAAGCAAATTTATTTATAGCTCCATTTGTATAGAAGCAATTTAATGTTTTACATAGATATAAGCAAAAAACTAATTAAAAGGACAAATATGCTTAAAAGAAAGTAGGATAATTTTAAAAATAATTAAAAAAATAATTTGAGAGTAGAATAAAAATAAAATAAATCATAGTGGAAGTTAATGTCTTCTTTGGAATATAATCGAACCATCACGCATCACAGGGAGTGACTAGAGGTCTATATCTATTGTCTGTAATATAGTAATTTAGGGTAAGAATAGAGTGCAAGTTTACTCAATCATACATGAAAAGAGGAATATTTTTAACCTGGATTTAAAAATTGCTGCATTTGGAACACATCTAATATCTTGTGGTAATTTGTTTTAGAAATGGAGTGATGTGCTCTATTGTCTTGGTATGGGATACAACACTAGCAGCAGCATTCTGAGTGAGATGCAGCTTTTAAACAGTCAATAATATAAGAAAACACAATAATTTTGGTTACACTGAGTAATCCAAAAATCATACTATCATAATCTCTCAGTGGAGGGTTTGACGGATGTGGGGTTCCTCCCAGTCTTCTGAGCCACAGCCGCGTACTTTGCGGTGGCTCCGTACGCATTTACCCAACCTCCTGCTCCGGCCCAGCGTTGCGTTCCCAAGGAAAGCTGCTACTCAGCACATTTCCCCCACACTGCACGCCAGGCTGCGTGGAGGACGTTGAACCTCTGTTGTCTGGCTCTGCCTCCTTCCCCACACCCGTGGAGTCAAGACTGTTTGGCTGCAGCCTGGAGCCTCCAGTCTCGTGCGCTCCCGCGTGGTGCCTTCCGCTAGCTTCTACGGTGCAAAATAAAAACTCACGTCTGGTTCTTTCTGTCTCCTCGTACTTTGGTGTTTTTGAACTAAATAGTTACGGCGAATGAATAAAATAGTTAAAAAATATCTGCTGCTTATCCTGTATATGTTCCAACACACATACACACACACACACACACACACACACACACACACACACACACACTAGAATAAGCAATTGTATTTGCAGCGATTTCCCTATTAAGTGTGGAAACAATATACAATATAAACAAAAACGAGTCTTGGAGAGAGTATAACATGTTTATTATTTTGTTCTTCATTCTCACTGTCAACCTGCACATTGGCAGAAATTGCTGCAGGATCCAGGGTGGAGAAGATAGATGGAGAATATACCCTGCAGCTCACCTCTTCCAGCGTACCCTGTTTATAAGGACAACAGAACAAAATCATACTCTTGATCTGCTCTCATAAAGTGTTTAGATTTTGGTTTGTTTCAGACAGTCTTTTTGATAGCAAGCATGCTCAGCGGTGCCCTGCGCATTTTACTTTAAAAAACACTAATGTGTTTTTTATATAAAATCAAATAAAGAAACCACTGAAGTTCATTATCATAAATTGCTATAGGTAACGTTAGTGTCGAGCTAATATTCGCTAACAAACATCTTATTGAAACGCTCTAGCACTTTAAAGTGTTAAAGTTTCATCAAATACGTTAACGTCAGGGACACAACAATAACACCCAGAAATCTGCAAAGTATATTTATGGCCAAAATCGTAATTTAAGAGTTTATACGTTTTAATTGATTGCATGAATGAACCGTGACTCCGACATTTTTTCCTTATGCTGCTACTACTTCTTCTCTTGATTAAGACAAGATTGCAATTGGCATGGCTGTGAGCCCACGACAGTGGCTGTGCTGGCTCGTGTGGACCCCCCAGCCACATACGGTGTGTGTATGGGTCCATGACCCCCCTCTCCCTGTTAGGAGATGAACCCTCCTGATTTGTTTAGTGCGCTGCTGCCTCTCAAACAATGCTGCAGTCACAATGGTACTCACCCCCCATCTGCGACGGCGGCGAGGGCAGCAGGCAGCAGAGGGCAGCACCCACTTGTCCAATGTCTGTTATGACTTTTGTTTATTCTCTGTTATTAAATAACATTTTCACCTTACCAAAACCATCTGGTTTATGCTTACGTCTTCTCTACCTCTAGTGAGGAAAATAATGAATTTCATCCATTTTGGAATAAGGCTGTAACATAACAAAATGTGGAAAAAATAAGGCACTGTGAATACTTTCCAGATGCACAGTAAGTTGGATCATTTGACCTTTAATATAAGGCAGCCGGTCACTCTGATGTGATTGATGAAGTTAATTTGATCGGCTTTATTAACTTGATACTAAAGTGAATGCTGGATTGATGTCTGTTTGAATACAAGAGCTCTGCAGACTCAGAGATCACAGTGTTTTAAGCTTGAAAACAAATACATGCAGATGTAGAACATTGCACAGTTTCAGTTGAGCTTGACAGAAAGGAACTTTAAAGTCAACACATTTAAATTATTGTCACAGTGTGGTCAGTGTTTAGATCTGTGCGTCAGTCTTGTTTCACATGCTTGCTCCCTCCCTGCTTGAGTGTACATAGCTTTCTGTTTTAATCAGTCCCTGTTTGCTCATGTCAGTCTGCAACTCGATGCTTAGCCTGCATTTATCAGTTCTGCTTGTCTTTCAGCCCGTCTGCTCTACGTTTGTGTTTTCCCTGGATTATTTCATTATTACCTGCCTGGACTATTTATTGTTTTAATGTTTTGGATATTGGATGTTACGTTCCCCCTTTTGGATATCCTGTTTTTTGTTGGACTACCTTGTTTTGCTGGACTAGTCCTTTAAGTAGGACTCTGAACCTGTAAGTTGTTCTGTCACTCCAGGAAATAAATCAGTTTACAACATCCTGCTTGGTTAGTGCCTTGCAATTTGACGATAGAGGGTTACAAAGGGTGTTTGATTCCAAACTTCGAATGGACATCCTGCGTTCCTCTGGGTGAGGCGAAAAATTGTCATAAACAACAGGTATGTAGACTTTTTACATGAATCAATACGTAACCTGCATTTGGAAAACCAAAAAAGAAATAAATGTATGCATAGACCCTTTCTATGTGCTGTGCCCTGCTGAAATTGTCCAGACCCCTTGGTGTCATTTTTTGATGTGTGAGGTTAGCAACAATTGGCTACATTGAAGGTTTAGTTACAACTCTGGACTAATGCGAGATGGAAAGCAGTGGATTCACATTGACTATTAAAATGTTGATTAGCAGCACAGACTGGGCTATATGGATGCACATCTCTCAGTAAATAATAAACTTCACTTATTCAGTCAAGATATGTCGTATAAATAGTGTTTTCCATTTGAAAATGTATTAAAAGATGCCTGGGGAGTCAGTTTGAGCTACGGTTAAGTTTGTCAGCAGAGTAGATGCTTGATCATAGCCAGTAAAAGCCTCCATCCAAATCCAGTACAAGCACAGACACGCTCCAGACATATTTAGCAAGTCACACAGATCTCAGGTGAAACACAAGCAGCCTCAGCCAGTACGAGCACAGAAATGTACAGCCAGCATCATTCTTAACAGACAGCTAGTGCACAGACGTCCATCAAAACCAGCACTGGAATTTTCTGGAAGAGGTTTCCATTCAGGCTTATTACAAAGACGGTCTGTTTAAAGGAGAGGTAGAAGTGAGAGCAATGCAGTGTCAGGTTTTTGGCTCACAAGTTTGGTAGGAGGTCCCCATAGCAGAAATTTTTCTTAGGTGGTGACACAGGAATGTGTGCTTATACTCCGGTTTAAAGCCCTTTCTGACATGACAGTGCCAAGATTAATGGACTAAGCAAGCTAAGCTGGTAAAGCACATACTAACACATTTCATACACTTTAATCAAAAATAAGTCCAAATTATAATTTAAAAAATTACATGGGGGATGAGGGTGTATAAATGAATACAGTGGTTGAATAAACTGAGCCATAATGTAGATGAGGAAAAAGAGAAAGAGAAAGTGTGGAATAAGTGGAAAGAATGAAGTTGCCCCTCCTATTTTTATAAGTAGCTAGGGTAATCTGGTATCAATCACAGCAGTTTACACTGTATTTCCACCTATTTGCCATTTTAAAAATCCATTTGGTCCTATATTCCCTCTCGTCTTAACTGCTATGTTCGTCTGTATTATTTGAAATACAAATACAATCACATTAAATCACACATAAACAGATAGCAAATCCTCCAGTGTGGTCAGAATCAGAATCAGATTTATTTGCCAGGTATGTGAATGCATACAAGGAAATTAACTCTGGATCATACATTTCATACATCACCAAATGTCTGAAGCATGGGCTTCATGGGCTCACCTCAGGGTTGTCTGAGAGATATTTTGGATTTTATTGGTCTTATTGGTCTTTTCTATTTGACTTTTATTTTCAGAACTCCAGGATGATTCACATGATAGACAGACTCATCTGGAAACCTCATCTAAGTGGCTTCAGTTCAATGGTTTTGCATCACATTGCTGTCCTCCTTCTCCTAACTCACTCTTGTGGAGGTAAATTTCACACAAATAGATGTTAACACCCTTTGTTTGAGTTTAACTCTATCCCTGCCATGTGATACCACACTACAAAACAATAAACAACATCAATGTACACTATAGGCCTGCAATCAATTTTGCAACCTAAGTTTTCTTCTCTTAAAATATACGTCGACCAGATTATGTGTATTTAAAGTGATGTTGGAAATAAGAAATACAATCTTTATTTATCAACTCAAAAGTTTAATTAACATTTGTGGTGTATAACATATGTGCATTTGACCATTACAGTTTAAAATAACACTCTAGCAGCTGGATAGAGGCTCAGTGAACTCTTAAGGGGGAGTAATGATTGATGGGTGTGTAAATAGTGAACCTTCCTATGGAATTTGACCTCGGACCCAGTGATAGGGAGAGTAGTGATTAGTGTTTATGAAGGGACTGGACCCTTATATGGTATTTAGCAGATACCTAAACATGTCCTATATAAGCTGTGTTTGATGTACAGAGAGACAGAGTGGCCATCGGGCTGGGTCACTCTCCAAGCTGCTGCAGAGCTTGTAATTGATGCTGAATTCCTTGAACAGTGTCAAGCGAATTTCTTCTCAACACATCATCGCAGCATTATTGTTCGGACACCACACATTCAATAATTCACACCATTCCTCAGTTCAGTATTTTTGCAGCAACAACCTTACTACCTAGTCTACAGTCTGACATTAAAAAAAACTTTTATATATTACCAAACAAACTGTCCCTAAAATAAAAGCATTAAAACCTTTAACTTAGCACTCTGTGACACATGTTGGCTTGCTTTCAGCTGAGCAGGTGGAGACCTGTTGTCCCGTTGGGGCTCTCTGTAGCTGTATGGGCTCGCTGCGAGACAGTTCACTACTGCAAAACTGTATACTCAACTCGACTCGACTAGGCTGCTCCTGATATCAGCTCTCGTACATACTTGCTGCCCTCATTCTGGGCTCTATACATAAGCGGCCTCTTTGGGCCCCCTTCCTCACTTGGTCCCTGTCCCATGGATTTTCTGAAAAATGTTTACACATAATTGAGCTAACAGCTGTACACATTAAACTGGAGTGGTGATTAGGGAAGTCACTGATGAACTGTTTGTACTACATTTAAACAAATAATCATAAAATGTGATTTATGTTTAAGTCTGCACAGTTTGAAATCTCATCACATTTCAACCCTCTCTTCTCAACCTACTTCATCCCACAATTACTTTACTGTGGTTAAATGAGTATCATCAGTTTAACAGAACATTATGTTATTCATATTTACTTGAGAATTTATTATTTCCAAGGTATAACACAAAACTGAAAAATACCATCTTATTTGTCTAACCCCTACATTGAAATGAATGCTCACTATACTGCATGATAAAAGACAACTGAAGAAGACATAAGTCGTCACAGCGTGCCATCATGACCCCCCGCCCCCTACAACACCCTTGCCCTTGACACTCTATGATGTAGATGTAACAAAGAGAGGGTTTCAGCCAAAGTTATATAGCCGCTACATAATGTAGTCATAATGTAGAAAAAACAAGAATTATGAAACAGACTTGTTTTTTCCCCTTAGGTCAGTCTCAGGTGACTGGTCCATCTCAGCCAATAGTGGCGATGGTTGGTGATGATATCATTTTGCCATGTTACCTGGAACCTGCTGTGGATGCTGCAGACATCACTGTGGAGTGGGCAAGACCTGACCTAAAACCCAGATTTGTCCATTTGAGGCGAGATGGTGTGGAGCTTCTGCTTGAGGAGCATCCATTGTACATGGGGAGAACATCACTGTCCGTCAACAAACTCAAGCGTGGAGACATTTCACTGAAACTCTCCAAAGTGAAGTTCTCTGACGCGGGAACATACAGGTGCCTCGTCCCCACGCCTGGTACGGAATCTGTAATCGATCTTGCTGTAGGTAAGTTTGCATGAAATTGTGCACTTACAAAAAGACCTATAAATATTCATGAAAGGTATAAATGCATTGACATAATTAAGCGACAGAAAGGGTTTGGAATGCCTGCTAACATCATATGCAGTAGAAGGTGACAACAGGAAAAAGTTTAGATGAACCTGTTGGATCAGTAACGGCATACTAAATCTGTTGATGCCTGCAGCAACTAGCAGAGACTCTACAGAGTTAACACTAAAACTACAAAGGCAGTCATTTTGACTTTTGCAATGTACAGTGGGGCCAAAAAGTATTTCGTCAGCCACTGATTGTGCAAGTTCTCCTACTTAGAAAGATGAGAGAGGTCTGTAATTGTCATCATAGGTACACTTCAACTACGAGAGACAAAATGAGAAAAAAAAATCCAGGAAATCACATTGTAGGATTTTTAAATAATTTATTTGTAAATTATGGTGGAAAATAAGTATTTGGTCATCCACAAACAAGCAAGATTTCTGGCTCTCACAGACCTGTAACTTCTTCTTTAAGAAGCTCTTCTGTCCTCCACTTGTTACCTGTATTAATGGCACCTGTTTGAACTCTTTATCTGTATAAAAGACACCTGTCCACAGCCTCAAGCAGTCAGACTCCAAACTCAACCATGGCCAAGACCAAAGAGCTGTTGAAGGACACCAGGAAGAAAATTGTAGACCTGCACCAGGCGGGGAAGAGTGAATCTACAATAGGCAAGCAGGTTGGTGTGAATAAATCAACCATGGGAGCAATTGTAAGAAAATGGAAGACATACAAGACCATTGATAATCTCTCTCGATCTGGGGCTCCACGCAAGATCTCATCCTGTGAGGTCAAAATGATCATTGAATGACCTGCAGAGAGCTGGGACCAAAGTAACAAAGGCTACCATCAGTAACACACTCTGCTGAGAGGGACTCAAATCCTGCAGTGCCAGGCGTGTCCCCTTGCTTAAGCCAGTACATGTCCAGGCCCGTCTGAAGTTTGCCAGAGAGCATATGGATGATCCAGAAGAGGACTGGGAGAATATCATGTGGTCAGATGAAACCAAAATAGAACCTTTTGGTTAAAACTCAACTCGTCGTGTTTGGAGGAAGAAGAATGCAGAGTTGCATCCCAAGAACACCATACCTACTGTGATGGGAGAGGAAACATCATGCTTTGGGACTGTTTTTCTGTAAAGGGGACAGGAAATTGATCCGTGTTAAGGGAAGAATGAATGGGGCCATATATCGTGAGATTTTAAGCCAAAACCTCCTTCCATCAGTGAGCGCCTTGAAGATGGAACGTGGCTGGGTCTTCCAGCATGACAATGATCCCAAACACACCGCTCGGGCAACGAAGGAGTGGCTCCGTAAAAAGCATTTCAAGGTCCTGGAGTGGCCTAGCCAGTCTCCAGACCTCAACCCCATAGAAGATTGGTGGAGGGAGTTGAAAGTCTGTGTTGCCCAGCGACAGCCCCAAAACATCACTGCTCTAGAGGAGATCTGCATGGAGGAATGGGCCAAAATACCAGCTACAGTGTGTGCAAACCTGGTGAAGACTTACAGGAAACGTTTTACCTCTGTCATTGCCAACAAAGGTTATGTTACAAAGTATTGAGTTGAACCATAATTTACAAATACATTCTTTAAAAATCCTACGACGTGATTTCCTAGATTTGTGTTTTATTTTTTTTTCTCATTGTCTCTCATAGTTGAAGTGTACCTATGATGGAAATTACAGACCTCATCTTTCTAAGTAGGAGAACTTGCACAATCAGTGGCTGACTAAATACTTTTTGCCCCCACTGTAATAACGCTGTTGAGGGGGGGGCATGTCCCAAAATGACCCTGACTTTTCCTAACTATGTGTATATTTTATTTTAACATTGGAATTGTATTAAAATTACAACACAAAAGAGTATTTATACCTTGAATGGTGATAACGTGTCCATAAAGGCAGTTACTATGCATTGAAATGCATATTAGAGTTGATTTTAAGTTAATGTTTGGTGTCCTGATGTTTCTTATTACCTATCCTAACATTAAAGATCCAATCATTCTTAGATTTTATATTTATTATTGAAATTATATGCAAATAATGTGTGAGCAGTCAGAATGACTTCTATGGCCATTCTAATAGTTATATAATTGCTCTACCACAGACATTTATCCTCACTAATTAAAGTATTTTTCAGTTATGACTGTGCATATTAGGTGTGGTGTCCAAGCTGAATCATTAGGCTAAGAAGTGTTGTATTTTCATTTGTCACAACTTTACATTTAAACAGCCTTTGACATGTCTGCTCTCTATTAGGCGCTGTCTCGTCACCTGAAATACACATTTCTACAGTCAGCAAAGGAGTGATGTTAGACTGTAAATCTAAAGGCTGGTATCCAGAGCCTGAGGTGTTTTGGCTGGACGGTGAGGGAAACCTCCTCTCTGCTGGACCTACAGAGACAGTCAGAGGTCCTGATGACCTCTATACTGTCAGCAGCAGAGTGACTGTGGAGAAGAGACACAGCAACAGCTTCACCTGTAGAGTCCAACAGAAGGACATCAACCAGACCAGACAAGTGGAGATTCATATTCCAGGTAAACACGACTTAGACAACACATATATTCTTACAGTATAATAATATTAATGTAGTCGCCACAGAAATTATTTGCCACAAGTAGTAAATAGAGGCCTAACAAAATCGCAATTGTGCTTTAATAGACCAACCAAACAATCAACCATAAGTAATGAGCTTGACACACTATATGAATAAAACACACTCTTATTAAAATTTAACAAATTTAATAATAATCTCAAACGCTGCTGGTTGTTCACCAGTGAAGAGCGGTGAAACAACAGCATGGCTCTGTCAATAAATAAAAAGTAAAAGTTATGTTGCGTTCTCTGGCGGACCGGAGAGGAGACGACCACTGTGGTAATTCAGCTAAGGAAAGACTCAGGGCTCTCAGGGGCTGGCAGTAACTCAGCCTGCCGAGTGAAGACAGACTCCCAGGAGGACCCATGTGAGCGCTGAACGGTTAGTTCATTCCTGCTCAACAGTAGCCGAGATGTCACGTGAAAAATTAACGCCTCAAACCCAGAGAACCACAGTTGAGAGTCGTGAACTAATCAGTTGTTTCCTGTGCTGACAGAGACCATGCAGCTGCTGTATAATGAGTGAACGTAAGAGTTCAAGACTATTCACGCATTTGTGAAAATGAACGAATTACTCACTGAAACAACACGTTCCTCCTGAGTCACATACAAGATTAGGTCAAATAAACGAAACGTTCTTTGAACAACACAACACTAGTGTTTTGTGGAACTAGACTTGTGACTGCGCCAATGTGGCCCCATGGTGGGTGATATCAAAAGATAAACCCCAGAAAACGCTTCGCAGGAGCGCGCAAAGCTGGCCTCTATTTACTACTGCCACATCTAGGGTAAGTAATGACCACAAAGCCCTCTACCACAACATATACTCAGTGTCACTGGTAGCACTTACTGGTCAGTTGTCTTTAGTTCCAGTTCATCTTGGCTAACAATGAGACACTGATTGGGGACGAGGGCTATTATTCATTGTCCAAAGTCTCAACAGATCTTTGCATTCATAGCAACTTCCTTTGTTTCTGTTTTTCTCCTTCTCTCCCTTTATTCCTACAGACAGACACAGATAAGACTCACCTTCTTGGCCTTCAGCAACCAGTGAATAGGACAAATTATCACCTTGTGACTATAAGAATATTAACATTTTTTGTGTGTTTTGATTTCAGATGATTTTTTGTTGTCCCACCTACTTCTGCTGTTCGTCTCAGCATCACAGTGGCTGTTTGGTTCACATGTGTTCTTATTCTTGTTCTGGCTGCGTGGAAATATAGAGATCATCACAAAATCAGTGAGTTACAAATTTATTCAAGTTCTTTATAATTTACAGCAGTTTGATGGTAGTTATAAAATATATGTAGCAGACTTACTGTCCAGTTTATGGTAAGCTAAGCTAACAGCTAACAGACTGTAGCTGCATTGTTAATGTGCCATGGTGGACTAAGAAAGGGGCAAACTGAATGAAAGCCAAACTATGCCACCTAGGGAATTGCACCCCAGGAAACATTTGAACCTTTATTATTTGAAGAAGATAAAGAAATAAGGCGCACAGGAACGTTACTGATGAGACAGAGGCCTGTTTCTAAATGCACCAAAACGTATTTATTTTTAAGCAATAAAAAAAAAAAGAGAGACACGTGAAGCTATAATAAAAACTATAAGTATAGGATGGTAGGATTAATAAAATTTCTTTATTACAATAAATTGTTCAAAACTAAGCAGAGGTCAGTTGGAGAGGCAGACTACGCTGAGGAGTGCCCAGGAGTGCTGCCACTACTGACCTTAATTGTAGCACTACAAACCTCCACAGCATTACTAACAACAAAAAAGTGTAGTCTAAATTGTGTCTCATTGCAATTGCTCACATGCAGAAAAGTGAAAAGTGAAGTCTCCCAAAAAGATGGCACCCTGCTCTGAATATATAATCTGAATACAAAAAGAATCAGAAACAAAGTAACATAATAACCCTGTTAGCTGGACAAAGGGCAAATTATATCACAAAGACTTTTCAAGAAAGGGGGTGGACATTTATGCAGTCATCTTCTTTACCTTATACATTTTAATTGACATTAGTTTTTAAAAATCTCTTTACACTTTGATATTAAAGAGGGTTTTTTTGCAAAGTCTTGTCAAAAAAGCCAAATTATATTGATTATTATTCCACGTATAAAAGAAATAAAAGGGTGAAACATCCAAGGGGAGTGAATACTTTTTATAGGCATTGTAGTATTGGGTGTTTGGATGGTCATTGTGTGTGTGTGAGAGAATATTCTTCAAAGCTGTTTTTTTTTTTTTTTTAAAGCCAATCATTCATTTTACATGCAGAGATATAGTGAAGAGGCAGAGGTGCTGTCTGTTGAGCAAAAGTTGCAGGGTTAATGAGACCAAGCAAGGTATTGCCATCAAGTCTCAATTATAATGATTCCTGCTGCTAATTGCTTTCTCACTTATATCTGCTAGTGAATTATAGGGCCAAAATATGAGAGACAGGTGGTAGCTACAACACTAAAATCAAGCCTTAAATTGCAATTTTGTGCATCTCCTGCTGTAAAAGAGCAACCAATGAGTGCAATAAATTTTCTTCTGGGTTGGCATTAAAATATTTACCGAATTGCATTTTTTTGGTCGTCAGCTTTGTTGAATTAGCCCACATCTTCACCAGCAGCTGGTGGTGTGCATTTACTGAATGAAGCTCCAAGTACTGAACCATTTTTGACACTATTGTGTTGGAAAGCGATAATGCTACAGAACACAGAAAACAAGATTCCTAACAGTGTTTCAAACAGGTAAGCAACTAGAATCAAGGTGAAAAAGATGGGCATGAAAGTATTCCTTTCACATACCTGGGCAACTAACACTAACCACAGGCATAGCAAGGACAGATGATGAAGCAGAGGATGAACAAAATAACACAGGTGTCATATATATATAGCCTGAGCCTGATAAAGACATTGGCCAGAGGAGGTGATAAGTCAATCTAACTCTCTGGAAAACAAAGTTAACCTTCGCTCAACTGGTCTCACAAAACTGGTTACCAATCACCTGTGTTAACTCTGGGATTACGATTCCAATGGTAGATATTTATTTGTCCTTTTGGAAAATTAATAATTTATGTGACATTAGAAGATCCAGGGTATTTTTTTCTCTTTTATATATGTGTGTGATATTACGTATGTAATGTGGAATCTGTTTTCTTACTGCTGCATAACTTTAGTCAAGTAGAATGTTCTACTGTTCGCATGTATGAAAATGTATGGAGACGAGTTCTCTGGAGTGACGAATCATGCTTCTCTGTCTGGCAATCCGATGGACGAGTTTGGGTTTGGCGGTTTGGTGGATGGGGGATTATGATGTGGGGTCATTTTTCAGCCGTTGAGCTTGGCCCTTTAGTTCCAGTGAAAGTAACTGTTAATGCTTTGGCATACCATCCAAGGACCTTGGATGAGAGTGTTTGGTGTGGACTTTACTGGCCTACACAGAGTCCTGACCTCAACCCAACAGAACACTTATGGGATGAATTTGAGCTGGGACTGCAGCAGGATTTCTCGTTCAACATTTGTTCCTGACCTCACAAATGTGTTTCTAAAACAATGGTCAAAAATTCCCATGAACAAACTCCTAAACCTTTTGGACAGCCTTCTCAGAAGAGATGAAGCTGTTATAGCTGCAAATTGAACAACTCCACATGAAACCCTACGGATTAAGAACCCAAAACTTTTGGCAATACAGTGTACTTTCTTGATTGTAAGGATCTCGCTCTCCTCTGTTGTACTTGAACCTTTTATATGAAGTATTTTGTCTACACTGGGATTCTGTATTAATATTTTGTGACAGCTGATTGGTCAGGATGTGGTTCTTTCCTATGCTTTGAATTATAAATCTGAAGAAAACCTACTCCTTGTCCGTTTGGCCTGCAGCGTTGGTTGCAATAAACTCACAGTTAAATCCAGCTATTTTTGTAAAACCAAAAAGGCAGGGCTAACGACAAAGTAAGTATTATTAAATTGACAAGGTTTAAACTTGAAAATTAACACCATTATTGGTTCTATTTATACAGAAAATGATGAAGATCAAGCAGAACGGGGAGACACATCAAAGAAGATCAAAACATTTAGCAACGATGCAGAACTTCAGTTACTGCTTGAAGGAGAAAGAGTGCAGCACATGACAGACAGGGAAAAAATGTGTATTTAGATAAGCTGGAGAACAAACTTAATGAAGAGTTACAAAGGAATGAAAAAGAGTCTGAGTTTGTAATAAAGGCAGTTGGTGCACTGAAAGAATATAAGACAGAACTGGATAACCACAGATTTCAACTTGAACGACTCCCAGAATGGATTGAGAAGCAGATTAACATATTCAAGAGACTTCTGTCCGAGGCGTTTAGTGAGGAGAAGAAAATACCTATCGAGAGATCCTAACAGATCTACAGAAGAGAAAAGAAGCAACTGGAAAACTGTTAGAGGACACAAAAAAACTACTTCAGAGAACAGAGGAGGAGGTGCTTCAGAAAACAGAACGAAAAATAAAACTTGAGAATTTAAAGGAGCCAATTAATAAACACCTGAAGGTGATAAAATCTCAGAGGAATGAGATTCAGGTGAAACTTCAGACAGAGCAATCAGAGGAAGAGGGGGCTAAACTTGACATTGTCCCTTAATGCTTTCTCACTCCTTCTTGTCTCCTGTCAACTCGTCACCATCATCATCTAACAAAGGCATACCGCTGTGTCTATATTTGATTACTGACTATTTTAACATTCCTTCCACCACTGGGTAAGGCTAATTGTTCTCAGTTTTACCAATTTTCAATAATTGCTCATTTTAAATGATCTTAAATGAATCTGTCAAAATGTTTGTTCTGTTCATATTAACTGTTCCGTTTTACTGCAGTTTACAGTACTCAGTGTCCTCTGGTGGCAGTGAGTGACAGTTCAGAACTGAAATGGGGAGAGAA